ATTTAGTTTTAATTGAATGACAGATGCGGTGAAAGTCTTTGAATTGAAGCCTTCGTTTGAATCCTTTGCGCAAAAAGCGAAGAACCCATAGGAATGTGATCCGAGAGAGGGCTGACTCGTTCTCGAGAGGACAGTAATGGGTGTGATGTGTGTTGGATGTGATTATGTGACGATCGGACGCGTCATCGCATACGTTAGATAACAAGAGGAGTACTACTGATGTCGAGATATAAACACAATATACGATCAGATAAGACAAGTGATGGCCGGCGGTGTCTGTGATCGTGTCGTCCGTTAAGTTGAACTCCAAATAGAGCCGTATTATCGACACAATAGCTGTTATAAACCAAAACACCTGAAGTGCTATTGATATGCGGCGACCGTTTCGGCGGTAATAGATCTGCAAAATGTATGCCAACGATAGACCCGTGAAGTCGACACTCGGCTCGAAGACTGTGCTCCAGAAGTGGACGTCTTTCAACACAGAACGGATCAAATGCCAGAAACTGATCGACACTAACACCAGATTCAGGACCTGTTAATCAATCAGATAATCAATCAACACATGTATGTCTCTCGCATGGGATGTCTTACCGCTGAGGAGACATTTCTTGGCCGCCATGGGATCGATTGAGTGCTCCGTTTGTACGCAAAGTATCTGAAGTCAAAGGGTGTCAACAGAAGGAGAAGTGTCGGACCAATCGCTATGAGGATTGTCTGCCGAAAACAGTCGGTCAGTCGCGGCGCTGTTGTCCACCAAAACACGTCATTGTCCTGTGGTTTGGGATCAGTTGAGAGACGCGAAGACATTAAATGGTTTGACAGCACATCTCAAGACTTACCCAAAGCGGCGAATCGCAGATCAATTGGGACTCATTATGGCTCGCGTTTGACATCCCTTTGGCGTCAATTGTCTTATCATTGAATGAGTTGTCATTTATTGTCAACAAAACAATGTCTTTGAAAACACATGAAATGAATGCAAATATCGCTGAAAACAATGCATTCAATGAATCGTTGATTGCATTCAAAACACTGTAAACAACACCAAAACACATGACTTGTCGTCTATAGAGTGACGTAATTATGGGTTTTGTATCGATTTGTATGGACTGTATGTCTACTGTCTGTCACTCCCTCTGCAGTCAATGGATCCGTAGATGCGATCGATTCTGTGGCACAAGAATTGCCATCACTTTTGCATTCAGATAATCAGTCCATACAATACCTCTCTTATGGACTGTATGTCTACTGTCTGTCACTCCCTCTGCAGTCAATGGATCCGTAGATGCGATCGATTCTGTGGCACAAGAATTGCCATCACTTTTGCATTCAGATAATCAGTCCATACAATACCTCTCTCTTCAGCAAAACAATACATTTTATATTTTTTATGAAACATTGTATTTGTTATCAGTTTTTATGATAAGACAATTAAATGTCATTTTTATCTCATTCTAAAAGTTTTATTAATTTTTATATGAATTAAATGACAATTCATTATAAATCACATATTAATTACAATTCGTGAAAAGGTTTGTCTAATTTGCAAAATACATGTTTATTATGATTATGTATACAAACAATAGATTATTTATTAAATATTACATGTTATTTTAAATTGCATAATAACCTTGGTCATATTTCTGTCATTTAGTGTTATACTGAACTCTATTCGTGAATTTATATTTATTTATAATAAAAATATTATTTGTAAAAATAGTTGACAAGTAATTTACTTAATATTGGAGTGATTTAATATAAACACTGATATTGGTATAAATAGAACATGTACAATTTACATTTAATTAGTAATATAATAGTAAATAGTAAAATTTAATGTAATGTTAAGTTACATTAATGAATTTATAAAAATATATAACATTTTGATAGCATCAGTCAATTCAATTCATTGCAGTCATATTAAATGTTTATAACATTTATAATGTTATCAATTCATTGGTGTTATAAATGTTTGCGCAGATATTTTTAAACAATTGTTTAATTTATCACTTATTCAGACAACTTATTTAAATTGAAACCTATTTTTAAATGAAAAACAATTGTCTCCTATTTTGCAAATCAGTTCAATTCAGTTGACAACAAATGGTTGCCTTTATTTCCGCTAATAAACTGAAGGCTGAATACAATTAAACACAAATTTGCAAAAATTTAATTTAAAAATTCAATTAATCAACATTTAAGTAATTTTGTTTAATTGCACATTAAATTAAAGATTACATCAACCACTTTTTAATGCACTTTCCATAATATTTTAATAATATTTATATAAAATAGCTGAATTTTAATTTATAAATGTTATAACAAGGACAAAATTAGCATTGGCATGTTGCATATAAGCAAGAAATGTTTATAAGATTTTTTAATCAATTTTATAGTTATAATAAAATTAAATATAAAACTAAACATAAAATTAAAATTATTTTCAATATAATTTTAATAAGAAAGGGATAATTGTTGGGTTATAAATTATAATTATGAATACAGTGCATTAATTATAACTTATAATTAACGCACTGTATTCATAATTTCGATATTACATAAACATCAATATCATATTCATTTATTTCATTTATATATAAAATAAATTTTAAATATTTACGTTAAAATTTAACACAAACACTATTTTAGCACAAATAATACCATTGTATACAAGGAATATACAAATTGTCGTCAATTAAATTCTGTTTAATTAATCTTGATAAATCTCAATTAAGGACATATTTTCATAAAAGGAGACAAATGCTATTATAAAGTACAATAATTGATTAATTACTCCATAAATACTAATTCAATGGTATTTTACAATTACTATTTAAAAGATTTTAATTCACTAGTGTTTGGGAATTCATTTCAAGGTTTTATGAGTAAATCCATTGAAGGATTCGTAAATATATATAAATCCTCTGATTCTCAATAAATCAATTCTCGCCTCTAATGACTACTCCTTATTACGTAATAATAAGTAAATTATTTGTTCACAAAAACTACTTAAAATTTATTGAGAGAGAGAGAGAGAGAGAGAGAGAGAGAGAGAACGGGTTTTAAGACACCACAACTCGACCTTATTTTGAATGGAAACATAACTTTCGCTTGAAATTAAAGCTCATAAACAACTTTCCAAATAGAGGGAGAGAGA